CGTATCATAGGTCGTGTCGCTATTATAATAATCAAGTTTTTCAACATTTTTGGTGAATCTTTATAGTCAAGGTCGATGCCACCCGCGCCACAAAAATGGAATAAAAAAAGTCTGAGTCTATTCCAATTTTTTTTTTTTTTTTTTTCAACATATCTTTAGTTTTTTTCTATAACTGAAATTTAAAATATAACTCAAGGTTACCAAATGTTTAAAAAAAAATAATACAACAAAAAAAAGAGATTTTTGTATGAAAACAACATACGACCGGAAATTAAATTAAAAATTTATTTAAATTTCAGTTACTAATTTATTTTTATATGTATAATAATGTATATATAATGAAACACTTGGTTTATTTAAATATGTAAAAAGAACAAATTTATTCGATGTTTTAATTTTTGAGGTGTTGTTGAACATGAATTTATTTTATTAAGTTTTTACTTTACGACAATTTTTGTGATATTAAGTTGTTATTTTTATGTTTTCGAATTTTTAAATTCAATTTTAATTTGGATTTAACAATAATATTCATAAATTATTTAAAGAAAAAAAATGTTTTTAGACTAATTAATTTTGAATTGTAAAGTTATAGCTTTTTTATAAAACTATGTAATTAATTTTAATAAATTTTTTCTAAATTTAAAATTCAATTATTTTATAAAAAATTGATTATACAAAACAAAATTTTTTACATCAGTTTAATATATTTTACTTTGAAAAAAGTCTCAGCTTTACAAAATGAAAAAGAAAAAAAAAATTACCCAAATTTGTCATAGACTACTACTACTTTCTATAATTTTTTTTAAAATGAGCTAATATTTTAGGGAGTTGTTATCCTCAATATTGACTAAAGTTTTAAGCCAATCGAATATTTTTTTTATTTTTTACTGGTACGTTTGAGAAAGAATGCTCCATATATAAAGATATTTTTTAAATATTATAGTTTTATAAATAACTATTTAAATTTTCTATATTAGTTTATAGACAAAATTAATGTTCTTCTTTAAGCTGGCAATTTTTTTTTCTTTTTTTTTTTTTTTTTGAAGTAAATTTTACATAAGGAATCGCTTGGCAATCGCTTCCGAGAAACTTGGAATGCGCGCACTGAGGTAACATTAATCCATGTCCGAATTTACGAAGCACAGCTCTCCCGCACTTTAATAACGCATTAGATATTCCTTACATAATTGGAAAGCGTACTCGTGATTTTCGCGTTATAATACGGAATTAATGCAGAGCAATTAAAACGTTGATGCCCGCTGAGCAAGATGAATGTATTAACGCAATATAATAATTCGAGAATGCCTTTCTATGAAAACGATATATTCTTGCATCGAACACAATAAATGTTAAATGAACAAAAAAAAAAAATTCTTTTCGATTACCTATTTCATTTTTTATATAAAATTTTATTTATTTTAGTACAAACGTGTAATTTTACAATTCGTCTTTTCCTTGGAAATTTGTCTTTATTATAGTTTTCTATATTTTAACTTCCTCTTCCTTTCAAATATATATATATATATATATATATATATATATATATCAACAAAATTTATAATTATATAAAAAAAATAATCCTCGAAATTTTTATTGGGAAAGTTATTAATTAAGTTATGATAAACATGTGAGAAATGATTTTTTTTATTAGTCACGCCTTATACAATAAATTACAACTTGGTAATATAAATATTGGAGTAAAAAAATAATTAAAATTTGAAAATCTTGAAAAATCAATTTAATTAATTATTCGAGAAAATAAGTCGATTTCTCAACTTCAAATTTTATAAAAAATGTTGAATATAAAATTTATAAAAATAACACAAAACGACGACCTGGAGTTGCTATTTATTTTAAATTCTATTTCACTTTCGGGAGAGAAATGTGAAGAGGCGCCATCTGCATTTAAAAGGAAAATTCAAATATTTTGTTAGATCTGTAATTTCTGTGACGAGTTGAAATGAAAATAAATTAACCTTAATTGGATTAAGTTGTTCTTTTATTTGTATATATCCGGTTGTGGATAGATAGAGAGCAAAATTAATATTGCAGATATTGCCAACGAGGTGAAATAAAAAAATATTGTTTCTCGTGCGTTGATAATTAGCGTTTTTAAAGGACGATAACACGAATCAATATAATAGATCCCAGACTGAAAATTACAGTGAGGAAGAAATAATAGTTCGTTTGTCACGATTTAATCAGTTTGAAATCAATTAAACGAATCCAGAAGAGAGAGAGAGAGAGAGAAAGAAATAACAGCAGTTTGTATTTGAACGTTCTGCTAGATGCCCGCGGTTCCCAAGCACATTCCGCTAAAGCGCTTTCTAACACGTGATACGATTTATCTCTAATTTTCGTAACCCTGCCCAACTTTTAATGTGATCAGACGTGAAAATTTTTAAATTAAAACTGTTAAAAAAATTTTAAATAAAATTTTCAAAATTTTGATTAATACATTTTTTTTAATTTATCGTTTATTAATAAAATTATTTAATAAAATTTATTTATCTACAGTTGGCAATATAAATAAATTTTATTAAATTAATTTATAATTGAATAAACTTTATTGAATTTCTATGATTTCAATAAAAATTCCCCTAATTTATGTATTTAAAGTTAAAAAAAAAAAAATTTCTATTTTATTTAAAAATTAATAAAGATAATTTTTCAAATAACAATGAAATATTTTGTGTAAACTTTCTACATGTTTATTAACAACACTAGCAAAATTAAACGCGCGAAATTAGGCATGTAATTGTTTATTATAAAGAAATTAAAATTAATATTATCAATAATATTTTTAATTTATTATAATATTATTACATTGTTAATAATAATAATGAAAATTATATTTTTATATAATTAATATTTAATAGAATTGAGACGAAGCTGAAGTACATCAATAAAAACATTTTTTTAAAAAAGTTAAATATTACGTCTAAATTACATATATTTAACATAGGCGGAATAGTTATTTGAAGATTGCTTTAATATGTAATTTAGGCTTAATATACAACTTTTAAAAAAAAATTCTTGGTAAACGTTGTGTACTTCAGCTTCTTGAATTAAATTCTATTTAAATATTTAACATAATCAATTTTTTTTTTAATTTAATTTAATTTTTTTTTCTGAATCATCTTCTTTTTCTTCATTTTTATTTATTTTTTTAACTCTCTCAATTCCCTTGCGCAAATATTCATTGTCCACATTTGTTTCCAGTTTTTTAATGTCGCTGACATCGTTGATCGAAATATAAGGAGGATCTGTAGAAAAACAACTTTATTTTTAATCAAAATTTTACATATTTAAATATATAAATTCAATTATTTTTTTATAAATCCATAATTTTTCAAACACGATATCGAGGAAATTATTTTATCAAAGATTCTAAAAAATTTAATTTTTAAAAACTTTAAGAAAATAAATTTTTTTATAATAATTTTTATTTATTAAGTTTTATTACATTAAAGGTAGAAAAAATGATTTTATCTTAATAATTAATTATTTGTAAAAAAAACGTTCGTTGATCTTTTTGAAAGATTATAAATAAATATTTGTATGTGATTTTCGAAAAAAAAACAATTTATGCTCTCACGATATTTTGTTTAAAAATAATAAAATTAATAATGCAATGTTTAAAAATTCTGTCAGCCATAAGTTAAGATTAGTCAATTTTTAGTCGGATTAATAATTAAACATTCAAAAAATGGTAAAATATTAAATTAATAAAATTGAATAAAAAATTTGATGTTACGGAGTGAAGTTTTAATACTAGTTTTCATTCAATTTTCTTTAATGATCTGATTGAAAATTTTTAAGTCTTATTGTATGTCTGGCAGAATGTTTATTAATTAAAATAATTTTATTATTTTGGATCAAAAATACAGTCTAAAATCATGCACGCGTGATTTGCTCTTTTTAAAAAATTAATAAAAATTTATATTTAAATATCTGTCGATAAGTTTTTAGAAATTCTTCAAGAAAATTTTCGATTTAAAATTTAAGTTGATAATTTTTAATATAACATATATCGGTAAAGGTCTTGTAAAAATTTCTTATCATCAAAATATTTATCATTAAATAAAATTTTTTATTTTTCATTATATAATAATAAATAATAATAATTATTATTAATCTATTATATGAAATATATAAATTTTCAATTGCCTATAATAAATTAAATAAATTTTTGAAATTTGATAAAATTATTATATATTTTAAATTAAACTTACCATCAACTTATGCACATTTAAAAAAATAAAAGACCTATAACAAATACTAACTTCAGGTGTGGACAGAATGAACGAAAGATATTCACGATTTTTGTAAAAAAAAATATTAAAAATAATTAGCTTTAGTGACAAACGATTTATTTATAACTGTCAATTTGAATAAAATTATTAAAATAAAATTAATAAAATGAAATGTAAATTTGTCGAAAAAAAATGTAAAATATCTGAAAAATCTCGTGAGTAATGTCTGTGATTTTATGCACGTGACTTAAACATTAGCGACACACGTGTAAGCGCACATGCCATTCTTTTTTGAAAAGTTGTATGTGTGCTGCTTCGCAAGCGCGCATTGGCGGAGAGGAAATGTTTCGAGAATAAACTTTTGCGAAACCATTGAATTGCTGCCCCGTTGTATAGAATATCGTTAACCTTGCTGGCACGGCCAACCGGTAAAAGCCACGTGACAATTGCCTCCTTTTTTTCATTTTCAATCCCCGTGGATAAATAATAAATTATGCAGTTTGCAACGAGAGGAATGAAATTCTCGACGTGTTTCGAATTATCACTTAACAATGTTCCTTTTATATACATATCACTTGGAATTTTCATCCAATTTGTTTCTTAGCTAATTTCATTTAATTCTTGTGGAATTTCATTTCTTATTTTCGAAAAATAAAAAATACTTAACAATATTTTGATGTTAGGAACAATTTTTTTTTAATTTTCAAAAAAAAAAAAATAATTTTAATGTGTTTTTTATTGCAGAAAATTTACCACCGTCGGAATTGAAAAAGTTTAGAAATAAACAGAGAAAACAACGCAGGAAGGCTGAACTCGAAAGGCAGCAGGCTGCTCAAGCTCAGGAGAAGAGGGAACATCACAATAAATCTCGACAACAGACTGATCCCGATCTCGAGCAACCAATACTCGAGGAACTTATTCCGGAAAAATTGGAGAGGGTAAGTATCATGAAATTAAAATGATGAAAAATTTCAAAAATATTTACAAATTAGAATTCTAAATTTTTATTCTATTTTTTTTTCACAGGTGGAAGATCCCTTGGAGCAAGCTATCAAATTTTTACAACCCCTGCAAGAGTTGGCTTCCGACAGAATAGAAACGCATTTGATGGCTTTTGAAATTTACATTCGAAAAGGTAACACAAACTCTTAAAGAATTTTCCTTATTAAAAAAAAAATATGTTTTTAGATTTTTACATAATTAATATTTGTACCAAATCTTTTTGCAAGATTATTGGACAATAATGAAGATTCGATGAAATAGAAATTCTGAATTATTTTAAAAGTAATTCTACTAAATCTAAATTTTATTAAATTATAATTGTTTTAATTGTTTAAAATGAAAGTGTGGTTAAGTAAAAAAAAAGGGTAAAAATGTAATATGAAAATTATGTCATCTAGTGACGTCCGAGAAGTTGGCAACGCCATTTCATTTTTTCAAAAAATCAATTTTTGTGCTAATTTTGTGCTAATTTGTGCTGCAAAAATTTTTTTGAAAAAATTAAAAATAGGGGTCAAAAATTTAAAAAAACAGTTTTTGGCAAAAAATTTATGATTCACTTTTATTCCAAACAAATCATTTGTCAAGTTATAATGTAACAACAATACAATCTACCAAAAAAATTAAAAAATTTTTTTTTTTTTAAATACAAAAATTTAATATTCAAAATTAAAATTTTTAACCATAAAACGGAAAAAATATCAATATTTACGAAAATAAATTTTCCTGCTATATTCTGCAAGACAAGCACAAAAATAGTCTCAAAAAACATTTTTGAAAAACTGTGTTTAATTAAAAGAAATTGCAATTTTATTACTCAAAATTAAGATTTTTAACCCTAAAATGGGCAAATATCCAAATTTTGGAAAATCAATTTTTGTGCTATATTCTGCACCACTAGCACAAAAATAATCTATAATTATAAAAAATAATCTATATCTATAAATATAATCTATAAAATTTTTAACTCTAAGAGGGCAAATATCAAAACTTTTTAAAATCAATTTTTGTGCACAAAAATAACCTATAAAAATATTTAAGAAAAACTGTATAATAAAACGAAATTACAATTTTTTAAAAATATTTTTAGAGGTTATTTTTGTGCTCGTATTGTAGAATACACCACAGAAATTGATTTTCCAAAATTTTGATAATTGCCCGTTTTAGGGTTAAAAATCTTAATTTTGATTAATAAAATTGCAATTTCTTTTAATTAAACTCAGTTTTTTAAAAATATTTTTTGATATTATTTTTGTGCTAGTCGTGCAGAATATAGCACAAAAATTGATTTTCCAAAATTTTGATATTTGCCCTTTTTAGGGTTAAAAATGTTAATTTTGAGAAATAAAATTGCAATTTCTTTTAAGGGGAGGGACTGGTGAAATTTTAGCCTACTGAAGTTATTATTGTTAAAGAGTGTCAATTTTTTTTCTGGCATAATTTAGGATCCAAAATTATTATAAATTATTAAAATTTAAAAAAAAAATTTTTTAGCCATTTTAGAAAATTTATTTTTTGGAAAAATTAAATTTCTTTAAATTCCATACGATTGATTGTTTTTAAATCGTGAAAAAAGCGTAAAAAAAATTCGACTATAAAAAATAATGAAAATTGTGGAAGTAGTTGAATTTTTTTCAAAATTACCACTAAAATTGAAAGCAATCAAAATTGATCTTGTTTAGGGGTAATAATTTTTTTCAACATTTTTTTTCAACCAAAAATCTTATTCTACTGAGAAAAACAACAAAAAGTAATTTTTAACAATTTTACAAATATTTTTATTTTTCAAAATTTTCATTTTTTGAAAAAATTGAAATTTTTCAAAATCCATACGCTTGATTGTTTAGAATCATGAAACAAGCGTATAAAAAAATCGGCAGTCAAAAATAATTAAAATTGTGAGAGAAGTTTAAATTTTAAATTTTCGAGAATTTTGAATTTGATTTTAAAAATTATTAACAAATTTATAGTTTTCAATTTTTCATGATATATTATACATTTAAATAATTAATATTGTCAGAAAAAAAATTGACCACCCTTAAACAGCAATAATTTTGATGTGTTAAAATTTCAGCGGTCCCTCCCCTTAATTAAACTCAGTTTTTTAAAAATATTTTTTGAGATTTTTTTGTGCTAGTCGTGCAGAATATAGCACAAAAATCTATTTTCAAAATTTTGATATTTGCCCTTTTTAGGGTTAAAAATGTTAATTTTGAGTAATAAAATTGCAATTTCTTTTAATTAAACTCAGTTTTTCTAAAATGTTTTTTGAGATTATTTTTGTGCTAGTATTGTAGAATACACCACAGAAATTGATTTTCCAAAATTTTGATAATTGCCCGTTTTAGGGTTAAAAATCTTAATTTTGATTAATAAAATTGCAATTTCTTTTAATTAAACTCAGTTTTTCTAAAATGTTTTTTGAGATTATTTTTGTGCTAGTATTGTAGAATACAGCACAAAAATTGTTTTTAAAAAATTTTGATATTTGTCCATTTTAGGGTTTAAAATCTTAATTTCGAGTAATAAAATTCCAATTTCTTTTAATTAAACTCAGTTTTTTAAAAATATTTTTTGAGATTTTTCTGTGCTAGTCGTGCAGAATATAGCACAAAAATCTATTTTCCAAAATTTTGATATTTGCCCTTTTTAGGGTTAAAAATGTTAATTTTGAGTAATAAAATTGCAATTTCTTTTAATTAAACTCAGTTTTTCAAAAATGTTTTTTGAGACTATTTTTGTGCTTGTCTTGCAGAATATAGCAGGAAAATTTATTTTCGTAAATATTGATATTTTTTCCGTTTTATGGTTAAAAATTTTAATTTTGAATATTAAATTTTTGTATTTAAAAAAAAAATTTTTTTTTATTTTTTTTGGTAGATTGTATTGTTGTTACATTATAACTTGACAAATGATTTGTTTGGAATAAAAGTGAATCATAAATTTTTTGCCAAAAACTGTTTTTTTAAATTTTTGACCCCTATTTTTAATTTTTTCAAAAAAATTTTTGCAGCTCAAATTAGCATAAAATTAGCACAAAAATTGATTTTTTGAAAAAATGAAATGGCGTTGCCATCTTCTCGGACGTCATCTAGTGTGATTATTCATAAACATAAAATAATTAATTGATTTCTTTTCTTTCTTCAGGACGAACACTATTGATGTTACGATCGATAAATCGTGCACACCGCTTAGACCCGAACAATCCCGAGTTGCACACGTGTCTCGTGCGGTTTCTGCAGCATACGAATAAATCGCCCCTGGAGGGCGCCCTCGCCGAGGTGGTGAAACGCCAGACAAGTGGAATATTCTCAAGTTGCAGTGCGGACGAATTGAACGCTCAATACTTGAAGAAGAACAGCATGTCTCTGCCACACCTTTACCAAGGCGCACGTATGATGTATCTCTTGGATCCCACTGTTCAATCGAAGGCACTGTCCCTCGTCGCCGATATTGATAGTCTCGAGAACGTTAATCTCGATGTATGCACGAGGTTACTTGGATCCTTGCAAAATGGCGATTTTGGTTCCTGTGAATCGACGGCAGCCGATTTTCGAATCAAGTGCCATTCACATTTCCCGTACGCGACAGCTTTTCGTCCCGCGGAAATTATCGAGGCCAAAGTCACTGTCAATCATCAAGACGAGTACTCCATCAAGAACTGATCCTTGCGTCTCTAATTTATGGAGATTATCAATGATTGAGAGGAAGCTTTCATGAAAAGGGGGAGGGGGCGTGGGGATATCACAATTTTTAATCGATCGTCTCGGTTTTTTTTTTAAATTTTTTCCATTTTTTTTCTCTCTCTCTCTCTCTCTCTCGCAACTTCAAAATGCTCTCGTCGTTTGTCTCTCGGAGAGGTGCGAAAAACCGAGTGAACAACACTGTACAGGATGCGTTATTTTTTTTTTTTTTTTTTTTTAATTTTTTTAATTTTTATTTTGTAAAATATTATAAATGGCGAGACAAGACTTTGTATTCATATGTGCTAGAAAAAGAAAAAAAAAAAAAAAAAGTGTCACTCGTGATTTTCTATAACCAACGACCTTCGTTACCGCCGATAAAATCTCTACTGTGTAGAGTTTTGTCCCTCATTAGAATTGTCGTCATTATTGTCATCTATCGCTAATTATGATGGAATATCGAGATATTTTTTTTCTCATTCGACCTTTTAATTTTCAAAAATATACATATATATCGATTTTATATTATCGATTGGGATAATTTCGATATTACATCAATTTTGTGGAAAATTTATTTTTTCCCCCTTTTGTATATTTGATCCCTGTCGAAATTGACTCTTTTAATTCCTGTTGAATTTTTTTTTTTTAAAGAAAACTCGTCGAATCGGAAAATTCTATTTTTTTTGAATATTCTATAAAATATAATTAACTTAAATTTGTAGTTTATAGAATAAAAAAATTTTTTTTTTTGAGAAGAATTTTTATTTAGTTGAATTTTAATTTGAAATTAATATTTTATTTTTTTTTACAATTCTCATTAAAGAGAATTTTTATTTTACCTAATTTCAATTTAAAGGAATTTTATAAGAAAAATTCGGTTAAATAAGTATTTAGAAAACGAAATTATTATTGAACTGAATATTTTTTACTGAATATAAATTCGTCAGAATTTTCATTTAGTACTTACTTTTCATTATGCCTCAATGAATTAGTAAATGGTAGAATTTCAATTTCACATTATCTTTCTTTGATCAATAAAACATATCCAAAAAAATTGTATCCGATTAATTTTATAATCCATCCTAAAAAAAAAACTACTAGGGACAATTTAACCGCTCATGATTAGTCGATTAGAGATTTAATCGCTGTTTAATTTTTAAACTGGAGTTGGAAACTAAATAAATTAGGATATAAATTTTTATTTGATAAAAATTTGATTATTTGAAAATATGCTCCTTATATCAAATTTTGCTTAATAGAAATTGGACATTATAAATTTCATTTAAGATAGAAATTCTGAGAAAATTATCTTTTTCTAAGAATATACAACGCGTCTAATTCTACGGAATTAATAATTAACTACATTTTCCGATTCGATGTTAAAAACCTTTTTCCTCTTTCGCTATTCTTCCGCTCGATTTTACGGATTTCTTGTGATTTGATTTTTTTTTTTAACAACTTTTTTCTAATTTATTTGATCAATAAACTTAAAAACAGGAAAAGGAAGTTATGAAATTTCGTTATTATTGAAAGAAAGATACTTGTAATATACGATAATCGAGAGTGATAAATAAAAATGAAAGTAGATGCTAAATTATCATCTGAAATTATTGTCGACGAACAAAAAAAAAAAAAAAAAAAAAATGATCGAATTGAGAAATTATAATACTCGATTTTGCATGTTAGGTTATATATAATAATTGTTTTTGAATTTATATTTAGAAGAAATAACAAATTAATTGAGGCTTATAGTTCATAGTACAATTATAATAGTTAAAATAAATAAAAAAAATGAATAAAATATTTAAATTGTAATAACAAAAATGATCAAAAAAAAACCATTTCGTATATTGCTCGAATTTTTCTTTCATTTTTAAATATATATATACTTTCGACAGACATGCAAAATTTTGAAAAAATATATCAAATTCCACTTAAATAAGCGGGTTCGAATATTTAACAATTCTGTAGAAAACGAAATTTAGGAATTTTAAATAAATTACCAATTTTGAAAATAATTAAAACTATTTTATTTGAATATAGATTCCTGCTCTTCCAATGAATTTTTTCGCTCTCTCTCTCTCTATATATATATATATCTCTCTCCGAATATGATTTTAATCTTTCTAACTCATATTCACAAAACAGGTATATATAAAATAAGTGTTTTTGCAAGAAAGTTATAAATGTTACCACTAATGCGTCATTATCAAAATTCTGACAGTCGATTTGTAGCAATTAATATTCAAACTTCGTCTCATTAAGTACGTTAGAAAATAACGATATCTATATCAAAACAAAACATTAACTCTCCGTTAATTTTATCTTCTTTTTTCAATTTTGAACACACTTGTAAAAAGTAACCGAAGATGAAATATCAAAAATATAGAAATAATTGATAAGTCTGTTCAATCAATATATCAAATTCTGGTTTATATATTGATAATAATCGATATATCGATATTAAATCGCTTTATTTATACTTGGTCGATATATCGTTATTTAATCGATAAATCGATAATTGGTGCGAGTGAGACAAACTTATGCGTAACGCATGCTTTCCTATGACTTGTGCGTTTCTGCATGCGTTTCGCATAAGTGTATTTCACTTGTACTCATGGGCTGTTGCTAGCATGGTGATTTTTTTACGGTATATAAACTTTTTGAAAACGGAGATTTTGCGCACTAACGCTTCCCTCACGATTTTTAAAATTGCGTTAGTCTCAAACGTTTCCATTCTTTGCCCTCCTCGTGTTCTTTCCTTTTTTTTTTTCTTTTTGTTGTAAACTATCAGCATATAAAAGTGTATTATTTATTTTGCAAACGTGTATCTGTATAGATTCGAAACATTATTGGGAATACAACTTTCTCTCATTTGTAAACTATATATATCGTCGAACACATTTTTTATATATGTAAATATTTGGCGTCGATTAAACATGTTAGCTATATATGTTTTATTTCTACTGAAATAAACAAAACATCCTGGGAAATGAAAAATGTTGAGAATAAAGAACGAAACGTATTTTTTACTCTATATTTTTGTTTTACCTTTCAAGTTTCAGGATAAAAAAAAATTCAAATTCAAATCCAATTCTAAATTTTGATTTTTAAAATTTCAATTATTTTCTTTTTCAAAAAAAATCTCGGTTTCAAAAAAAAAAAATTTTTTTTAATAAAAAATTTCGAAATTATTAAAAATCATACTATTTGTTTCCTTTGATTATAATTGATTATATAACAGTAATGAAAAGAATTAATTTTCCTATTTACAAAAAAATGTGTACCTCAATTATTATTTTTTTCATATTTTCAAAAATAATTAAGTTAAAATACACTGCCAGATCAGTTTATACAAAAAAAGAAGATAATCTCTTGTAAATGTTGACTTATATATTATAGCGCCACGTCGATTATTGATAATTATTAATTAATTAATAATCAAGATATCGATCATGTGTATTATAGTCATTTCAAGTCGATGTGTGAGTGTCGAGTCTGCGAGAGTAACGCGTAATAAAGTGTTGGGGTATCGATCTTTTCCAAAAATTAATTGAGAAAAAATTTCTACTGTGAACTTTAAAATTCTGTATATCGTGTAATTTGCGATTTTAAATATTTTGTTACAATGACACAAACATATTCGATTTATAAAAATAAAATCGATGAAAGATTGTTATATCGAAAAAAAATACAAAATTGATAAACTCTTATTGTTAAAAACGATCGATGTTTTTTTTTTGGTTCGATATTCCTTCATTGGTATAAAAATAAACGTCCGCTGTTAATATCCTTGAAACTTCGTGAAATTAAAATCTATTTGCGAATTAATATTTAGCATTAAATGCTAAATAAGGATTTCTGTACATATGTAGTCAATAATAATAATAATTATTATTATTATTATATTCGGATCTCCGAAAGTCAACTAATAATACCAATAATAGAAATAATCGTATAGGGTACGGGTTTTTTTTCTTCTCTTCATTGAAATTAACAAAGCAAAAAAAAAGTACGAAAAACAGTAAACTAATTTCTTATCATTGTAATGTCGTGCTTTCGTTTTTTTTTTTTAGAAAATTTTTTCAATAGAAAAAAAATTATTTTCAGTATGAGTGACATGTACGAATGTTGTTCCTCTCGAACTGTACGGCATTATATAGATATTTATATAAGTTATGGCGAATAAACACGAATTAAAACAAATGATTTTTAATTGATTGAATGATTTCCTATTTCATTTAATTAATGAGTCATAGTAATTTGAATTAAATAAATTTACATTATTACTCATTACTCTATAATAATAATTATTAATTAATTTTTCAACATAAATTAATAATTAACTTTTGATTTATTAAATAATATTTTCAAAATTATTTTTAGAATAAATTTCAAAATTAAAATATATGTTATATTTCGCATTCACTTTTGCGCCCATATTGCAAACATAATTTACATTTAATTATTTAATAATATTTTGTTTAAAACAATAAAATTTGTTTTATAATTACTTCTTTTTTGAACATTTTTAGTTAAAAATTTTTATTTATACGTTCTCTAATGTCTAAGGAGCGTTTTTAGAGAACTTAAAAACTGTGACTATAAATGTAAAATGCATCTATAAGCGCAAAACTATTGACAGTATTTACTCAACATATAATTTTCTGTTATCTATACGTAACTTAGAAAATAAAATATAAGAAAATTGAGTCAATTTATTCTTTTTATATTATTGAAGATATAGTTATACTGATAAACATTTCTCTATTTTCTAATAATCACGCAAAAAAGAGTTAAAAGACTATTTTTATTTATTTTCCCATATTGAATTGTTTTATTATGCAAATAATTGTCCAAAATATGAAGAGGGAGAAATTTTATGTATACTTAGTTTATTTTAGTAAGCAGAAATCAATTTCAAATAATACAGTAGTTTCAATGAGACGAAACTCTTGTAAAAGATATACTGAATTATTAATAGTAAGTCGATTATGCAATAGAACTTTTTTCTTTTATATTTCTTGCATCGAAAATTGACCTGCAATTTTTTATTATCAATCTTTTAAGAATAGTGGCTGAGAAAATATTTTTGAAGAATGTGTCCAACAATCTTAAAAAACTTTTTATTCTGAACACATATCAATTTTATAAGCAATAATCAGTTTTAGTTTTAAAACTGATTTTTAAAAATTTCTCAGATAATGTCTAATAAAAATAAAGAAAAAAAAATTTACACAGGAGAAATTTCATATACATTGCTTCAATTATCTGGAATATGGCAACCATCTGAACATACATCACAATGGAAGTTAATTGTTTATCGATTTTATTCCATGTGTGCTATATTATCATTTTTTGCATTTACATCCTTTGTATTCATTTATATGTTTCAAAAACATGAAAATGTCGAAGCTTTGGCACAAACCGTTTTTTATTTTTTCACTATTTTTGCCGCTTTAATTAAACAGATTATCATTACAAAAAAACGTAAAATATTTATAAAGACAGATGAAATGTTTTTGTCTGAGATGTGTCGACCTCAGGATATTCACGAGAATGAAATATTACAAAACTGTTCTCGACGAGGAAGGTGCATTAATATATTACACTCACAAAAAATTCTATTAATCATTCTTTTTTCGAACATTATTGAAAAGGAAATCTAAATGATTTCTCTATTCAGATTAATATACATTTTTTTTATTGCACTAAAAGTGCTATTTAGTACATTTTTTGACAGTTACTGTTGAATTTTATTTTTATAGGAGAAATTCGATTTATTATTTTTTAATGGTTTGTACCACAGGAACAATGGTGATGTTGTTGCCATTAGCTTCGATGCCAAATATGATTCTTCCAATTCCATACTGGTTACCATTTTCACAAGAATCTACACTTGTTTATTCTCTAGCATATTTGCATCAAGTGATTTGTTGCATTATGATAATATTTATTTGTGTTGGCATGGATGCTTTAGCATTAACAGTCATGTTACGTATTTGCGCTCAACTCGAAATAATAATTTATCGGTTAGATTTACTTTCTCAATTTGGGAAAATTAGTCAATTTATTTCTGTTGATGATCATAAAAAAATTGATATTATCAGTTGCCTAAAGCATCATCGTCATATACATTCGTGAGTTACATTTAATTACTCACAATTATTCTATATATATTATTATTCTTCTTTCACGTAGAGAAAAGAAATTTTTAATCATTATTAATTAATTTTTTTTAATTAATTAAACCATACAGGTTTTCAATTTTTTGAAAAATATAGAATTTTTTTGTCGTTTTTAACATTTAAGATAGTTTTATGATAAAACAAGTAGGTCCATTTTTTACTGTGTGATCAAAAATCAAATTCAAATGTTAAAATTTTATTTTAAGAAATGTTTGGTACCATTTTTTGGATTTTATAATGTAATATAGTTTGTGTATATTAATTTTCACAGAATTGGAGAGAATGTAAATAAACAATTTGGAGCTGTAATTTTTGTTCAATTTTTCGCTTCTATGGTTAATTTATGTGTTATTATTTACAATTTGTCAAAAATGAGTTTGAGCAATTGTGATAGCTGGTTAATGATTGCTGCTCTATGCAGTTACACCTTCCAAATTTTTATCTATTGTTTTTACGGTGAAAAAGTGACGGAAAAGGTATAATACATATATTAAAAATAAATATTTGTAAAATTATATGAAATAAAAATATTTTTTTAAATATATAAATAATAATTATATGTATCTATGTAAGATATTTCATGCCACAATTATTAATTATTGCTTAATCTCTATTTTAGTATATAAAATGTTTAAAAAATAATAATACTAATACGTATATAGGTATAATAACAAATTTGAACAAATTAAAGACTCCACGGCAGAGTTAAAATTTACAATCTAAATGATTAACTAATTAATTTATTTAGAAACTTTATTGAAGTTTTAATAAATTGTTAATGTACTCAGAGTTTAGATATTGGAATGGCAGTTTATTCTATACATTGGGATACATTAACAATTAAAACAAAAAAATGTTTTGTAACTGTAATGATGCAAACCACACGACCGATTAAGTTGACGGCAGCATCAGTTATCGTCATGTCAATAGAAACCTTTGTGAAAGTTTGTATCAAATTATTTTTTTCATTAATACAGTTGAATTCACTTTTGTTTTAGTATAAAATAATGTTCATATCCGGCTTGTCGAAAAAAAACGCATTATTCTAGCTACGTGAAGTTGGCACACCAAGTATAAGGAAAACAGATTTTGTTGTATGGAATCGTTTGGTGGTCGTTTGGTGGTGTTTGGTATTCAGGTTTGGAGGTTTGGTGGTCAAAATTGAAAAAATTATACAGATTTCAAGTTTAGAGTGCCAACTTCACGACAGCACTCCAAAAATTAGTATTTTTTGAAAATTCCTTTTGATATCGTTTGGTGGTCGTTTGGTGGTGTTTGGTAGTCAATTTTGGAGATTTGGTGGTCAAAACTATAAAAGATAAATTATTTCTAAAGCTTTTATAAGAGTGCGTGTTTGTGAATGCGCATAGTCTTCTGGCGCGAAAATTCAAATTGTATTTCTAAACTTATTAATTTTTTTCCTAATTTCATTTGTAAATTTATTTAAAAAATAGTATTTCACAAAATTTTGTATGAATTTCATTAAATATAATCATATAATAATTAAATATAGTAGTAACAATAAAAAATTTTTGAAATAATTAGTTTTGGACAAAAAATTTTACATGAGCACTTTAAAAATTGAAATATTTTTTAAACATTCTTTTTGATATCGCATGGAGATGTTTGGTAGCCATTTCACAAGGTTTGGAAGTTCAATTTATAAAATATAATTATAATTTTAAAAAATTCATCAAGGTGAATAAAGATGAATGCGCACTATGTCATAGTAGGAAAATTAAATTTGTTAATTACGACGATTGATTCCATTACTCTCTTAATTTCACAAGTAAATTTATTATGAAAACAGTATTTAACAATACTAATCATGAGATTT